TCCTGGGTTCAAGCGATGCGTTCAGCATCCCGAGTAGCTGATTATAGGCATGCACCACCATGCCCGATAATTTGTATTTTTAGTAGAGACAGGGTTTCACCATGCGTCAGGCTGCCAACCTTGCCTCCAAGTGCTGGACACACGTTGAGCCACCACACCTGGCCTAAAAATAATACTTTTGGTCGTGGGCGCGGTGGCTCGGCTCATAATCCCAGCACTTTGGGAGGCCGAGACGGGTGGATCACGAGGTCAGAAGATAGAGACCATCCTGGCTAACCCGGTGAAACCCCATCTCTACTAAAAATACAAAAACTAGCCGGGCGAGGTGGCGGGCGCCTGTAGTCCCAGCTACTCGGGAGGCTGAGGCAGGAGAATGGCCTAAACCCGGGAGGCGGAGCTTGAGTGAGCTGAGATCCGGCCACTGCACTCCAGCCTGGGCGGCAGAGTGAGACTGTCTCAAAAAAAAAAAAAACTTTTTTAATGCATGTGGAAAGAGGTATATTGAGAGAGGATGGATAAGTGGAAGAGAGCTGCTGGGGAAGCTTGAGAACCAGCAAGAGAGATGAAGGCCGCTTGGGCCAGGATGGAGCAGTGGATGTGGAGAGCAGCACACCACACACATCTGAGAATGATTTAGACGAGGCAGGACTCAGTGTTTCCCTCCCTCTTTCCTCCTAGCTGTTCCTCCCTTACTGCTCCCGCCTGAGCTCACAGATGCCCCACACCTACAGTCTCCCATCTGGAAAACCTGTGAGAAAAGATTATTAAGTCTAAATTTTGGAGTGGTTACACAGCAATACTGTAGCAATAGGTAACTAGTGTGCACAGGTAAAGATGGGGGTAAACTAACACATGTTCACAATTGTTCAATGTGACATTAATTGTAATAGCAAAATTTTGAGACTACTTAAATGCCTGTTATTGAACAGATTATGGTGGCTGCCCACACATGGAGTATTACACAGCTGTAAAACACAGAATAAAGAAGACCGTTATGAGCGTAAAGTATGACTTCTAGATGATATTTTAGGGTTAAAAAAAAAACAAAGTGCAAAAGAGTATTATGAAGGATGTTATCTTTTGTGTGAGGAGGAAGGGGAAATACATACATTTTTTCAAAAAGAAATGTAAGCATGGGTAAACCAGAAACAAATACAATGAATTTTTTTTTTTTTTTTTTTTTTTTTTTGAGACAGGATCTCGCTGTCACCCAGGCTGGAGAGGGCACTGCACAATCAAGAAACATTGTGTCTCCACCTTCCAGGCTCAAGTGATCCTCCTATCAGCCTCCGGCACAATTACAGGCATGTGCCACCATTTTTATTTTAAATTTTATTAAAAATTTAAATATTATTATTTTTTACCTGAACTACACAGATGTAAAAAATTATTTTATTTTTCTAAAAGATGCAACAAATTACTTACTGTAAATGATAATGATAATTGTATAAATTTATGGGTTACAAAATGATGTCATAATCTGTGGCTACAATGTGGAATAATTAAATCAAGCTAGTTAACGTATCTATATACTTAAAGATTTTGTAGTGAGAACATTTGAAATTTACTCTAAGCAATTTTGAAATGTATAATACTCTACTAACTATATTTACCACACTGTGCAACAGAACTCAAAAAAATTATAAAATGTATTCTTCCCATTGGAGATTTTGTAATTTTGACCATCATTTAAATTTTTTAAATGCAATAAAATATCAATTTCAAAACAGCATGAAAATTGAGTGTGTTTAACCATACTCAGCTGATAATAGAAATGAGTTGAACAGAATAACATTTATTGCATGCTAATGAACTGGCAACAAGAGAAAGTTGGTGGAAGAAAGGCAGAGGAACTTGGGCAAGAATTAGAACTGAGGGGCTCTATAATCATCTGACATCAGTTCCCATATGTTCTCTCTGTGGTTAGAAATGTACATGATAGAACCCAGGAATCTTAGGTTCTCTCTTCAAGGTCCCAGGTCAGGCTACAGCATTATTTGAAAGGCTTCTCTGTGCTAAGCAGTCATCTGCATAGATTCCCTCCTGTGCATGGTAGTTTGGTAATCGCTCAAATTTCTGATCTCTGCAATCTTTAAGCTACTTGATATTTCTGCCCCATTTTCTCAGTTTCAGCCATTACACAATCAGTTATACAAGGGATACACCTGGCATATAGACAGTTCATCACTGACTGCAGTATGTCTAGTTTGGCTCTTAATGGAAAAGTTGGTAACACTGAATCAAACAGGATGTGGGTAAAGTAGACTCAGCTGTGTAATATATTGAAAATAAGCAGGAAGGGTATTGGGAACTTTTTCTTTCCTTCAGCATGCTGGGATATTTCTTTTCTTTTTAGGTCTTTATCATTTTATTTAAGCCTGTGATATCAGAGACTAAGCATTCGCTTCCTGGTCAGACTTCCTTGTTTTCTTTGCTCTCCCATGCTCTGTCATACTCTTTGTTTATTTTTTAAGACAGGGTCTCACTCTGTCACCCAGGCTGGAGTGCAGTGGCTCAAACTGCAGTGAAGCCTCAACCTCTCAGGCTCAAGCAAGCCTCCCACTTTGCCTCCCAAATAGCTGGGACACAAGCATGCACCACTCACACCCAGCTAATTTTTTTATTTTTATTTTTGCAGACACGGGTCTCACCATATTGCCCCGGGTCTCAACCTGACTTCAGTGATCCTCCCACCCCCACCTCCCAAAGTGTTGAAATTACAGGCATGAGCCACCGCGCCCAGCCTATTTTTACTTTTTATAGAGACAGGGTCTCACTATGTTGCCCAGGCCAAATTGGTTTGCTACAGGGAATGGTTTTTGTTTTTTTGTTTTTATTTTTTTATTTTTGAGACGGAGTCTCACTCCGTCACCCAGGCTGGAGTGCAGTGGCACAATCTCGGCTCACTGCAAACTCCGCCTCTCGGGTTCACGCCATTCTCCTGCCTCAGCCTCCCAAGTAGCTGGAACTACAGGCGCCTGCCACCACGCTGGGCCAATTTTTTTGTATTTTTAGTAGAGATGGGGTTTCACTGTGTTAGCCAGGATGGTCTCAATCTCCCGACCTCATGATTCGCCTGCCTCGGCCTCTCAAAGTGCTGGGATTACAGGCGTAAACCACCGCATCTGGCCATCTAAACTTAACTATCTCCCAAATGTCCCATTTCCAAATGTCATCACATTGGGGGTTAGGGCTTCAACATATGAATTTTAGATATAATTCGCCCATAGACTTTCGTTTTTGGTGGACCTGGGTGCTGGGTGTGGTCATTACTATTGGAGTGTCATTGCTCTCATGTCAGTGCAAGGGACTATACGTACCTACATACATACGGAAATATTTACATCCATCTCTACAGATTGAAAAACGAGTTCACACTGATATCTCCAATTTGACACCACACGGTTTATTCTAGTTTTCTCCCTTTCCATATTTATGGGAGCCAGGTTTTTATGAGACAACTATATTGGGAGATAATTTTGGGGGTTCTCGTGCTTCTGGGTGTCTTGTGGGCTGAGATGTTGACAGATTTTGTTCCAGACTATTTCAAGGATTTTTTTTTTTTTTTTTTTTTGAGATGGAGTTTCACTCTTGTTGCCCAGGCTAGAGTGCAATGGCATGATCTTGGCTCACCGCAACCTCCGCCTCCCGGGTTCAAACGATTCTCCTGCCTCAGCCTCCTGAGTAACTGGGATTATAGGCATGCGCCAACATGCTTAGCTAATTTTTGTATTTTTAGTAGAGACAGGGTTTTCTCCATGTTGGTCAGGTTGTTCGAAGCCCCAACCCCAGGTGATCTGCCCACCTCGGCCTCCCAAAGTGCTAGGATTATAGGCGTGAGCCACTGTGCCCAGCTGTTTCAAGGATTTTTGTAGAGCAAATGGCCTTAGAAGATGAGATAGTATCTCCTCAAGATTGTGGTTCTCAGCAGTGATGCAAACCTGCTGTGTGTAACACTTGCCTGGGCCTGCCAGTGTTGCCCTGTGCGACTTGGAGGGCAAGTGGGACCAAGGCTAACACACTGCCTGCTGTGCCCTCAGCAGTAGTCTCTGCCCAAGTAATCTTGTGTTTTCTGCCGCTCCCTAACACAAGTTCTTGGAAAGTTCTGCTCAGCTTCTTAGCCTCTCAGCTGCCTCTTCCAGAATCAGCAGGTGCCCTTATGGGAAAAGTGGTCAAGTCCCAGGCTCACTTCTCTGAGTTTCCTTCTTGTCCAGAATTTTGGTTCTATATTGCCAGCTGATGTTTTGGACAGATGCTGTTTATATTTTGCACAGCTTTTCTAGCTGTTCTCTATGTTCAGTGGGTCCAAATTTCCTGGTTCGCCATTAGTGAAAGTGGTAGATGGTGAAGGGAATTTTCAACTCAAAGGTTTCAAGGCTACCAAAAAGAAAAAATACACATGTAATGAGAAAGAAAGTCAAGACCTGTCATAAGAAGTATCACAGGTTTCTCAGGTCACACACATACCAAATCAATTCACATTCCTGAAAATAAAACAGACTGTCTAGTGCCCTGTGACCCTCCGCTATGGGTACCCTATTTGACCCTGAGGCTTAGTTCCAAAGCCAGCTACATCTTTATAAAAGCCTTTCCATCCTATCTCCTTCACCTCCCTCACTCCAGCCAAGAAACCTTCTTTCCTCTTGCTCCCACAGGAGTTTATACCTGTTAGGGCACTTCTCCATCTCTACCACATGTTGGCTGACTACCGAAATTCATAACTAGCAACTTGAGAACCCAATCATGTCTTAATCCATCTTTGCTGCTTGCACGTCTGAATAGAGAATTTATGAAAATGAATGTTTGCATAAGCTGATAAAGGAGATGAAGAAAAACACGGAGGAGAAAACCAACGGTGTGGGATCAGAAAATCCAAGAGAAGAGAGTGTTTCTGAAGAATGGGCTGATACTGTCGCTGCTGAGAAGTCAGAATGATGGCCCGGAAAAGGTCTCTAAAATGTGGCATAAAGATTCAGATAACACTGACTTTTTTTTTTTTTTTTTTTTGAGAACACTGACTTTTATTGAGGAAGAGCAGGCCAAATGTTGCTTGGAGTCACTGCATTTTTTTGTGCAAGTCAATTAGACAAGGTTTTTTTTTTTTTTTTTTTTTTTTGAGACAGTCTTGCTCTGTCGCCCAGGCTGGAGTGCAATGACACAATCTCGGCTCACTGCACCCTCTGCCTCCTGGGTTCAAGCAATTCTCCTGCCTCAGCCTCTGAGTAGCTGGGATTACAGGCATGCACCACCACGCCTGGCTAATTTTTGTATTTTTAGTAGAAACGGGGTTTCACCATGTTGGTCAGGCTGGTCTCGAACTCCTGACCTCATGATCTGCCTGCCTCAGCCTCTCAAAGTGCTGGGATTACAGGCATGAGCTACCGCACCCGGCCTGGCAAGCTTCTTCTTGAGAAAGGATGAACAGTTCTCAGCAAAGAGGAGTCACCATTCTTCTGAACCACCATCAACATTCCAGAGAAGAGGTAGATAGAAAGCTAGATTCTGGAGGATGTGCTGCAGTGAGCTAGGCCCTCAGGCAGGTGGTGGTGCCCAGCAGAAATGGCAGTATGAGCCCAGGCTTCCCTGGTCCTAGGCAAATGTTTTAGACTAGACGTCTAGGAGAAAAGTCTGGGCACTATCTTCATAGACCTGCATCAGGCTGGTCCTAGGTCTCCTGTTCCAGCTACATAGTGGACACCTCCCTCTGGGCTATAACACACAGGGCCACAGCGCAACTGGGGCTCTTCCTCCTCATACCAGCGCTGTTCACTGAAGTCAGGGAAGAAGGCTGCAATCTCTCTGCTGGCTGAAACCACAGAGTCTGTAAGGGGAGATAAGACAGAGAAGGGGTTCTCACATGGTAGAAGCAAGAGGCAGTCATAATCAGGTTGAGAATCCTGAGCCTCTACTCTGCCTGCCCCTTCAGTCCTGGGGCATGTAAAGAAAGTCCACAGGCCACATCTGCCAACATGGCCACAAAGACCAGAAACACAAATGGAAGAAAGCTCATTGGAGGGACCTGGCTGTCAACTCTATCACACAGCCTGCCCGCTAACCCCAAAATATCCTATGGCTATGGACAGGGGACTCACCCGAACCGTGGGTGGTGTTGCGGGTGTCGGTGAGGCCGAAACTCCCACGAATGGAATCTGGGGCCACATGGCGTGCTCGGAACACTCTGGTGGGTCCCATGAGCGTCCTCCAGAGCTGGATGGCATCCTTGTGGGCAAGGATGTAGGCTCGGATTGGCCCACTGTGAACAAAACAAGCAAATGTGAGGAATCTGGCCATCTAGACTTAGGAGGGTGTGCTGTGAGCAGGGCCTGAATAAACACACACTCTATAAGAGTTTTCCTGCCTTTCCACCTGAGTACCAATGCTGCTTCAAATAGGAGATACAGAGCCCCTGCTGGTGTACATAGAGCCTGAAGAGATCAGCAGGTGGCTATGCAGCATTCAACGGGACTTTCCTAAACCACCACAGGACAGGTGCCTAACAGGTCAGCATTGGCTCAGTGACAGCCCAGACCCATGTTTCTTCAGACTTGACATTGACTACAACTTTATTTTTTGAGATGGAATCTCACTCTGTTGCCCAGGCTGCAGTACGATGGTGCAATCTTGGCTCACTGCAACCTCTACTTCCCGAATTCAAGTGATTCTCCTGTCGCAGCCTCCCGAGTAGCTGGGATTACAGGCACCCACCACCATGCCTGGGTAATTTTTTTGTTTTTTTTTTTGAGACAAAGTTTCACTCTTGTTGCCCAGGCTGGAGTGCAGTACCACGATCTTGGTTCACTTCAACCTCTGCCTCCCGGGTTCAAGCGATTCTCCTGCCTCAGCCTCCTGAGTAGCTGGGATTACAGGCGCCTGCCACCATGCTGGGCTAAGTTTTTGTATTTTTAGTAGAGACGGGGTTTCACCATGTTGGCCAGGCTGGTCTCAAACTCCTGACTTCAAGTGATCTACCCACCTTGGCCTCCCAAAGTGCTGGGATTACAGGCATGAGCCACTGTGCCTGGCCTGATTACAACTTTAAAGAATGGCAGTGAAATGAACAAATCCATTTAGGGGCAGGGGAGATTCGCCTCAGTGGATAAAGATGCTGGAACCAAATCAGAAGTACCTGGCCATGAATTCCACCAGCCGCTGATAGAAAAAACGCCCTGCAAAGAGAGAGGACCTTCATCAAGATACCTTCATCCTGGTGCCCAAGGCAACTTTCTGTACTTCTACCTCCTTACCTAGAATAAAAATTGTTTTAGCGAAAAGAACAAGCACCTTGGAGTCTGACAAACCTGGGTCTGAATCTAAGGTCTGCCACTTACAACCTGCGTAGTTTTGGGTAAATCATTAACCTCCAAAACTTGGCTTCCTAATCTGTGTACGAGGGATACAAGAACACCTACTTTTTAGAGTTGTTGGGAAAACTGAATGAAAAAATGAGCATGAGGACGATGTCTGACGGTGAACATTCATTCACTATATGTTAACTACTGACATCAGGACATAAAACTAAGTTTCTGGTTGGGACTACAAGGTAGAACCCTCCTTGGGAAAAAAAGATGGATAATCATGAAAAGTGTGTGTTTTAAACCAAGATTTTAGAAAACTGGCTGCAACTGTACACGGTTGGTAGGTCAGAGAGCCTGCCATTGTGTTCCAGGTAAAATCTCTCTTACGGGCCTCTTTGGATTGAGGCACCTTCCATTCAGAGGACTACTGATCCTACCTTCGTGCTCTCGGTAAAACCTCTGGCAGTCTTCCTTTCTCCACAGTAGTTCTCTCATTCGTACAATCAGGAACTTGTTGCTTAGAATCTGCTGATGAACAGCCTGAATAAAGACCACCCCCAAAATAAAAATCAATCAGGAGACTGAAACTGACCAAAAGAAACCATGAGGACCACTTGTTGCTCAGGACTTGAGGGTTCGTCCCATTGGAGGGTGAGAAGATGAGGTGGGGTGAGGTCAAGACCTTCAGTCACACAGCTACAGTGTGCACCTTGGGTGAAAGGGGATAGGATGCACTGTCTCTACTCTTCTATACCTGTAACCCCTTGAGCTCAAGACCACAGGACCCCCCACTCAGACCACCGTAAAAGTCTTATTAGTGGTCCTGCCTTGAGTTTCTCTCACTCCCTCCAAACCATCACACTTGATAGATGAGAAACTCTGTAATTTACATGTCACACTCTGGTCAGGTGTTAAGTAGTTCCTGTTATTCAAGGAATGAAGTGCAACCACTTTAGCCCAGTGCTCAAGGTTATACTTTCCTTGCTCTGTACCAATTCTCTAGTCTCACCAATCCAGGCTGCCTGCGGCCCTCAGACCCATCACATGCATTCTTTTCTCAGCATCTCCCTTCTGTGCAACACCTGTCCTTCTCCTGGCACTAACCAAAATTTACCATTCCTTTGAGGCTCAGTTGAGTCCTGCCACTTCCAGGCTCTCATTCCTGACTGCTGGGATCTTCCTCTGCACCATAGTGGGCTTACTTAGCAGTGCTACTCTGTTAGTATTTATTAAACTGTGGTACGCAGAATGTGAAGATGACCCCAAGCCCCACCAAGATTTCCCACCCGAATCTCCAGGACTGTGAATATGATGCAATATGATTATGTTACATTACATAACAATAGGGATTTTAGAGGTATAATTAAGTTACTCATCAGTTGACTCTGCTGTAATCAAAAGGGAGATTATCCAGGTGGGCCTAATCACGTGAGCCCTGTGGGATTAGAATTGTGAAGGCTTCTCAATGCCAGCCATTTTCTCTGGCTAGAGGCTGAGGAAGTCAGATTCAAAGCATGTGAAGGATTCGATGCACTGTAGCTGTCTTGAAGATAGAGTGGGCCATGTGATGAGGGATGTGAGTGGTCTCTAGAAACTGAAAGGAGTTCCTGCCTGAAGGCCAACAGAGAAATGGCAGCCTCAGTCCTTCCATCATAAGAAATCAACTCTGCCAACAACCTGAATGAGTTTGGAAGTGAATTCTTCCCCCAGACCCTCCAGATAAGGGACTGGTCAGCCAATACCTTGACTTTGGCCTTTTGAGACGTTAAGCAAACAACTCAGCCAAGTCTATGGACCTCTAACCTACTGAACTGTGAAGTAACAAATGAGTGTTGTTTTAAGCTCTCAAGTCTGGAGTCATGTGTTATGTAGCGATAGAAACGAACACAGATACATTGTCTTGAGATTTGGTTCTATTATTGCTTTGGGTCCTTTCTTGTATTTTAGATCTGCCTCAAGTCTCCAATAGATACTTAGCCTCCGCAGGTCAGAGTTCACGGCTTCTAGCTTTGCCTCCACAGCATCTAGCACAAGTCTGTGTTGTCAGTCACCATAAGTGGCCTGATGGCACCTGAAGCCGTGGCAATTCCCAGGGCATGTGGTAGAGGCTTAGGATTCATTCTTACCTCCAGAATCAGCGGATGGGCGACTGCATCAGGCTTGATCAGGGCTAGAGTGAGCTGGAGAGCCTGAGGGCTTCGCAAGATTGAGGCCATCTCAGTCCTGCCATTAGAAAGCTGTATTAGGAACCCTTCAGGACTGCACTCCCAGCCTTCCCTACATTGAAGCCATGTAGCCTTGCAAGCCAACGAGTGCTCTCACTCCTGACACTCATAAAGAACCTGACAGTTTCATCTTAAGGCCATATACATTATTTTATTTAATTGCCCATTTGGGGTCATGGGATCAAGGGAGGGGAGTGGTAGAGGGAGCATTCAAGTTTCCCCGTGGAGTATACAATCTGGTGCAACTGTAAGCCTATGAAGGAATTACCCATTCAAAAGAAACTCAAGTTTAAATACTACCTATCTCTGCCAATATCCCTTCCTAACTTCCTTTTGTATTTTACAGAGGATTTGCAACTTATACTCCTCAACAGCCTATCCACAAGGGTATAATCTCTTAAAATCTTCCATCCCATAGTGCCCTCCTATCAAATCTAGAATTGGAATATTGATGGACAGGAACTGAGGTGCTGCCAGGATACCAAAAAGTCTGCTGGATAAACACCATCTCTATTCTAATATTATGGAGAGATCAGGATCTCCTGTGCCCAAATCAAACCTGTTAATACACTCAGCTGTCCTCAGTGGCAAGACCTGTCAACACGCAACTCCAATGTCAGGAACAAGTCATAACCATTTTGCATTTGAAACAGTGCCTGGCACAAAGGTGCTTGATCAATTTTATTTACTAAATAAACCTATATAGTCTTATTTCTATTCATCTTTGTATTCCTAGTGTCTAGCATGGTGTAAGAGCTCAACATTGTAGAAATGATATAATGGACATAAAAGCATTTTATAAACTGGACTAACGGGAATTTTGAGGTCTTTTCCAACTGTGAAATCCGAGTTATATGTGAGAAATTGATCACCTCTGCAGGAGTAAAGACTTTGTCTCAAAATCTTATCTCAATATTATCTCTCATTTGGCCATGTGTAGTGGCTCACACTTGTAATATCAGTACTTGAGGTCAGGAGTTTGACCTGGGCAACAAAGCAAGACCCTGACTCTACTGTGTGTGTGTGTGTGTGTGTGTATAAAATCTCTCATTTGTCAACAAATACAGAGAAGGCTTCCATGAACACAGGCAGGGACAAAGTCTAGACAACATTCTCATTTATTTTATCCTAAAGCCTGTCAATCATGTTAAAGGTGGTATTAGAATTTGGCACAAGCAATTATGTCATGGTCTCTTCTATTCATGTCCTTTCTACAGCTTTCAACCTGATTTTCCACTCAAACCATAAAGCCATGCCCAATCTAACCAGCACAAGATCAGCCAACCCACTCTCCCTAATGCCACAGGTCGTTTTCGGCAGTTGTCCACAGAGACATCCATGACACCTCCCCTCCCTCACTCTTCATATCCACACAATCACTAACTTCGGGCAGTTTTCCCTACCTAATATATCTCGAAACCCATACCATTCTCCAACCCTCAACTACTATCACCATAACTCTAAGACATCATCATTCCTTTCTGGACATCTTGACAGCCTCCTCTTTGGTCTCCCAGTTTCTGTCCTGCCAACCTCTCCAATCTCCACACAGCAGCCAAAGTGAACCAAACATGCAAATCTAATCATATGGTTCCCCTCCTTAACCCTTTAAAGGGCACCCTGCTCTTAGAATAAAAACCAAAATCCTTATCACAGCCTCCCAGGCTCTGCATGATCTTGTGGTTCCACACTTACCTCTCTAGCCTCATCTGGAACCCCACACTCCGTAAGTTTCTCTAGCTCCAACCTCATGGGCCTTTCAGTTTCGAAAGGCTTAACAGCCTTTGTGTGATTTTTTCACAGTCCTGAATGTGCTTTCTCTGGTTGCCTCCTGCTCACCTTAATGATCTTAGCTCACTTCCCGTTGTACTTTCTCACAGCTCCTTGCAAATTCCCTTCAGTTCCATCTTCCCCACCAGAAGGTGTAAGAAGTACCTAGTACACAGCTGGCTCTTAAAAGTATCTGAAAGAACCAATGAATGCATCTGATCCAGCTATTCCAAGGCCAGGCTGCTAGGGGTTCTCGTAGCAAGAACACGCGGCCTGTAGGGAGAACATGGTTCCTTTATTAATGCAGCTAAGTTGTGGCGGTCTTCACTCTTGGTTTACAACAAACTGACACGTCGAGAATCCTGTTCGACTTAAAAGTGACTCCATCAGAGAATTAAAAATTTTAGGCAGGGCTTGGTGTCTCACGCCTGTAATCCCAGCACTTTGAAAGACCGAGGCGGGCGGATCACGAGGTCAGGAAATCAAGACCATCCTGGCCAACATGGTGAAACCCCGTCTCTACTAAAAATACACACACACACACACACACACACACACAAATTAGCCAGGCGTGACGGCGCGCACCTATACTCACAGCTACTAGGGAGGCTGAAGCAGGAGTATCGCTTGAACTCTGGAGGCGGAGGCTGCAGTGAGCCAAGATCGCGCCATTGCACTCCAGCCTGGCGACAGAGCCAGACTCCGTCTCCAAAAAAAAAGCAAAGCTATCGGTACATTGCCCCCCAGCACTCGAGCGGGCCACCACTCGGCTTCCTGGAGGGCGGCGGCCCAGTCCTAGTCCACCCACGCGCGGCCCGGATCTGCGCCTCTACCCCTGTGGCCCCGCCCTCCAGCCCCCCGGGCTCACGGCTTCAACTGTCGACCCAGCCCCCTACTTCTCTAGGCCTACAACCGCGCAGCCCTCGTACCCGGGGCCTAAGCCCACCCCAGATTCTAGGTCATTCGGAGCCCCAGTGCAGCGGAAGTCCGGCTCCGGGTTCACCTTGTCCTCCCGCACAGGGCCCGGCCACCAGGCACCACGCTGGATAGCCTGCGGCCCTCCCGGGGTCCTTCAGGCGCTTGTTGGGCAGCCCTGCTTGGGGTCCTCGTCCGGTTGCGCCGCGAGGTGAAGCGAGGTGTGAGGAACCCTAGCGGGCAGCGGGTTTCGTAGGCGGGTGCACTTGCTGCGACGGGACTAGAGGATGAAGCCGTCCTGGGCGGCGGAACTGGCTTGTGGGAACCGCCCCTCGGAAGCCGACATGGGCGCCCTCGGCGGGAGGGAGTGCCGGGCCGGATGCCGACGCAGTGCTACGCAGAGTGGCGGAAGCCAGAGGACCGGACGGGCCCGTTCAGGGTGGCGGGCCGGCGGGGGCGCTGCCCGCCAACAGGGACACCGACGGGAACCTTGCCCACCTTGTTATTTTCTATGTCTAGGGTAGTTCCTGGAACATGGTTGATGCCCAGTATTTGTCAGAAGTACGCGGAGGGCAAAGAACTTGAGCGCTGGATCGAGAGGGCACAGGCAGCCCTTCAAAGTCTTTTGAGCTGGGAGCGATACATTAGCACGAAGGATCGTAGCTAATATGGGGGTTGATGAAGGAGAATCCTTGGCTGGAGCCCAGGTGTGCATAGGGCCTGAGGGAAGCAAGTCATAACGGCCTTTCACGTGTAATTAGGAATCTGGGCAGCAGGTTGGTGGTTGCGTTACTTGAGTCTATTGAAGCAGCCCAGGGTGAGGAGATTAGAACTGGGGGTGTTCCTGGTGTGCACTTGGATGTATGGAGAGGGTGGGGACAGGGAGAATGGATCGGGGGTCACCTGTGGCAGGTGTGACCAGAAACTTGGTGACAGGCTTAATAAAGGTGGTAAAAAAAAAAAAAAAAAAAAGTGTTTTGGTTTCTTGGAGTTTTTTTGAGGGAAATCACTGAGAATGAGAAGTGTGAAAATAAACGATAACTGTCATCAATTTAAAGACTTAACTTGCACATTTAAGTGACTTCAGTGTCTGCCTACACAGGTATTGCCCTCTTGGAAGGTTTGTCCCCAACTCCTCATGGCTTCTCTCTCTGCAGCAATAAGAAGTCACTTCCCATTAGTTTCCTGATACCCAGTCACCTTTGGGAACTTCTGAGGAAAGTTTTTCCAGTCTCTCCAGAGACCCTTGCATTTCTTCTCTTTTTGTTTTGACCCCTGACCACCACCCCCTACTCTAACCTTAACTCCTCTGATACTCAGTTCCAATCCTAACCCAAGCCCTAGTTCCTAAATTTATAACCCTTTAATCCTAGACCTGGTCTCTAGATCCTGAGGCCTTGATGCTTATCTTCTAACCTCCTAATCCCAACCTTTAATCCCTAAACCTCAACCCATGACCTCTGATTCTCAAACCCCAGGTCCCCAACCCTGACTCCAAAAATGACAACCCAGTACTTCTCCCTACCCTGAGTCACAGACAGAGGGAGTTGTAGCAACTGAAACTGCAGTAGGCCAAAGGACCCAGTGAGTTAGCCAGCAAACTACTCTAAATACAAGATATGGTGGATAACAGCAAGCCTAAACAAATCTTCCTCGAAGATGAGCAACAAAAATCCCAGTCATTATGACTACACCTCTGTATCTCAACAAAGAGGCTTAAATCAGCAAGTCATCCCAGCCCCTGAAGGAAGAGAACAGTCCTTGTAAGTTGCAAAGCTCTCAGACAGAGGACATGGGTGGTTCAGTAAAGCCCCTGTTCTAGGACACAGCAAAATAAACAACACAATAACCACTATGGCCCAGCAGATGAGGGCCACAGCCAACATCGCCATCCCTGAGTCTTCCTTTGCAGAATGATCATCGGGACTCCAGAAGTCCCAGCAAACCAGTAGCAATCCAGCTGAACAGAAGACAATAACCCTATGTGAAGCCAGATTCCAGACAACTGATGTAGATGCATTCCAAAATCTGCAGCATTCCAGCATGTAACAAACTGCAATAAGTGACACAGATCTCTCCCCAACAGTCACCTTATGAGAAGCAAGGGGAAAAAAATGCTCCGATAAAATGGAATCCCAGAATCCCTTTACCATCCCACCCTCAAACCCCTCCCCATTGCCAGGATGCTATGGCATAAGAGACAAAGGACAATTCACAGTAGTAATAAAAAAACATTTACTAAACACTGAGAAACAGTACTGACCAGGTGCCTCATTCGATGCTACGCTTATGTGAATTCTGTATGTATACTGTACTTAGATATAATTTTTTAAAAATTGATACTGCTAAAGCCTTGCTTAGATGGAAATTTGTAGCCTAAAATACATATATTAGAAAAGAAGGAGGACTGGAAATTCAGTGAGCCTCCATCTCAACAAGTTAGAAAAAGAGGAACAGAGCCTCAGAAACCTGTGGCACATCATCAAGCATATAATGTTGTTGTTGTTATTATTATTATTATTATTTTTTGAGATGGAGTCTCGCTCTGTCGCCCAGGCTGGAGTGCAGTGGCCGATCTCTCCTCACGGCAAGCTCCGCCTCCCGGGTTCACACCATTCTCCTGCCTCAGCCTCCTGAGTAGCTGGGACTACAGGCGCCTGCCACCACGCCTGGCTAATTTTTTTTGTATTTTAGTAGAAACGGGGTTTCACCGTGTTAGCCAGGGTGGTCTCGATCTCCTGACCTCGTGATCCGCTCGTCTCCGTCTCCCAAAGTTCTGGGATTAAAGGCGTGAGCCACCGCGCCCAGCGTTATTATTTTTTTTTTTGAGGCGGAGTCTCGCTCGGTTGCCCAGGCTGGAGTGCAATGGTGTGATCTCGGCTCACTGCAGCCTCCGCCTCCTGGGTTCAAGCGATTCTCCTGCCTCAGCTTCCCGAGTAGCTGGAATTACAGGTGCCTGCCACCACGCCCAGCTAATTTTTGTATTTTTAGTAGAGACGGAGTTTCACCATGCTGGCCAGACTGGTCTTGAACTCCCAACCTCAGGCGATGGATTGCCCGCCTTGTCCTCCCAAAGTTTTGGGATTACAGGCGTGAGCCACTGCACCTGGCTGTTATTATTTATTATTAGCTCTTGCTTTATGCAGATGTCTTTTAAGTCATATAGGAGTATAAAAGATTTACAAACAAAACCATATATTTATACTGTCTTTACCTGTGTAGTTACCTCTACCACTTCTATTTCCCCATGTTGATTTAAGTGTCCTTTCATTTCAGCCTAAAGTATTCCCTTTAGTATTTCCTGTAGGGTGGATCTGCTGGACACAAATTATTTCAGTTTTTATTAGTTTTGTTGGTCTATCTTACTTTCTCCTTCATTTCTTTTTTTTTCTTTTCTTTTCTTTGTTTTTTTTTTTTTTTTTTGAGATGGAGTTTTGCTCTTGTTGCCCATGCTGGAGTGCAATGGTGCAATCTTGGCTCACTGCAACCTCTGCCTTCTAGGTTCAAGCAATTCTCCTGCCTCAGCCTCCCAAGCAGCTGGGATTACAGGCATGCAACACTGTACCTAGCTAATTTTGTGTTTTTAGTAGGGAAGGTTTCACTATGTTGGCCAGGCTGGTCTTGAACTTCTGATCTCAGATGATCCACCTGCCTCAGCCTCCCTGAGTGCTGGGATTACAGGTGTGAGCCACCGCTCTCTTTCATTTCTGAAGGATTTTCTTTATGGATATAGAATTCTTGGCTGATATTTTTTTCTGTTAGCACTTTGAATATGTTATCCTACTGCTTTCTGGCCTCCATGGTTTCTGATGAGAAACTAGATGTTAATCTTACTGAGGATCATTTGTACTTAATGATTTACTTCTCTTTTGCTATTTCAAAATTCTCTCTTGGTCTTTGGCTTTTGACGGACATTATGATGTGTATAGGTGTGGATTTCTTTGAGGTCGTCCTACCTGGAGTTTGCTGAGTTGCTTGGATGTGCATGTTGACATTCTTTGAAAAATTTGAGATATTTTCAGCCATTATTTCTTCAAATATCTTTCTGCCCTTTTCTTTCTTCCATTCTCCTTCCTGGACTACTATTATCTTCATGTTGTCTTGTTTGATTATATCCCACAGGCTTCCAGGGCTCTGTTCCTTTTTCTTTCTGCTCCTCACACTGGATAATGTCAATCTTTCTTCATATTCACTTGTTCTTTCTTCTGGGCCTGTTCAACTTTGCTATGAAGCCTCTCTAGTGAATTTGTCATTTTAGCTATTGTACTTATCACCTCAAGAAAGTTATATTTTTTAAAAATAATTTCTTTGTGATGTTCTCTGCTTGTTCACACATCATTCTTATACTTTATTTCTTTAGACATAGTTTATCTCTTTGAAAAAATATGTAAGGCCGGGCGCGGTGGCTCAAGCCTGTAATCCCAGCACTTTGGGAGGCCGAGACGGGCGGATCACGAGGTCAGGAGATCGAGACCATCCTGGCTAACACAGTGAAACCCCGTCTCTACTAAAAAATACAAAAAACTAGCCGGGCGAGGTGGCGGGCGCCTGTAGTCCCAGCTACTGGGG